TAAGGCGAAGTCACAAATGACGTCCTCTCTACCTGTGACCAGGGCTCCCTCTGCCTCTTCATCCTCCTGGATCTGCCGCATTCGAGAGTCAACCATGCCATCCTCCTCCACCACCTCTCCCTCATTCACCACCGCTCTTCCCTCATCCACCTTAGTGGTTGGAGTCCTATGTAACCAACTGCCTCCATTTCAACTTAGCAAATGGTTTCTCCTACTGCCCCCAACCAGTTACCTGTGGGGTACCCCAGGACTCCTTCCTTGGCCCTCTTCTTTTCCTCATCTATGTGCTTCCTCTGGGCGATGTCATCCGCAGACACAGGGTAAACTTCCACATGTATGCAGATGACACACAAATCTACTTTGCCTCCTCCAGTAGCAACTCCAGGTCCACCGATGTTCTATCAGCTTTTCTGACAGATGTCAAGGCCTGGATGAGTATAAACTTCCTGGAGCTGAATATGGACAAGACGGAAGCCATACTCCTTAGCTCCCATCAACATATTCACTCCAGCGGATCTGAACTCCTCAACCTCCCTGGGCTCTCTCTCAGACTCACCAAACCAGTTCGCAATCTAGGTATCCGGTTCAACTCCCAGCTGTCCTTCTTGCCCCCCATCCAGTCCTTCACCAGGACCGCCTTCCTCCACCTCCATCACATTGCCCGCATCCGACCTTACCTTACTCCAAATGCAGCCGAAACCCTTGTGCATGCGTTTGTTACCTCCCACCTGGATTACTCAAATGCACTCCTTGCCGATCTCCCCACCTCCACTATTCAACAGATCCAGCTCATTCAGAACTCTGCCGCCTGCATACTGACCTGGACCAAACTCCGTATACCCACATCTCACCAGTTGTGACCAGGCTCCACTGGCTCCTCATCACCGAATGGATTGATTTCAAAATCCTCACAATCGTGTTCAAATCCCTTCACACTCTGGCACCTTCCTACCTCTCCGACCTCCTCACTCCCCAATCCACCACCTCCTGGCACCTCCACTTAACTGGCACCGGTCTCCTCCTTGTCCCTCGCACCCATCATTGGAGGTCTCGCTTTCAGCCACTACGCCCCAAAACTTTGGAACATTCTCCCTCTATCCCTCTGCCTTGCCCCCTCTCTCCCCCCTTTCAAGTCCTGCCTGAAAACCTTCTTTTTTGATTGTGCTTACAGTCACCTCCCACCTCCACCCCCGGCTTGGAGTCAGACTCTACCATTGTTAAGCGCTCTGAGACACTCCCCTGCATGGAGAGCGCTATATAAGTGCAAGATGTTGTTGTTGTAAGGCTTAGACTAGCTAATGGAAAGATAATTAAAGAGCATTGCTTTGTGTTATCCAAAGTTTACAACAAAGAAGGAAGTAATTTGGTGCATTCTGTTTGATGTGGCACCCTCATTGGAACTATTTGTTTTAAATCCATTTCTCTGCTCTTTGAAGTTAGTATTGTTTTTTGTCAAGTGTTTATCTAATTCCCCTTTAAAGGTTGTTGTCGATTCATGCATTTCATATTCTAACCTTGTGTACAAAACAAAATCCTTTAACTTAAATTTATGTCCCTTATTCTTGATTCACGAATCACTGAAAATAGTCTTGATTTATCCTATCAGTTTTGTGAGCCCACCCCTATGGATGGTGGTGAGCATCTATTGTATTCACTAGATTAATGCCTGGGGTGAAGAAATTGGCTTTGATGAGAGGCTGGGCACTTGAGTTATATTCCCTAGGTCTAAGGAGGTATATGAGTGATCTGATTGAGGTTAAAGTACTAAGAGGAATTGACAAGCCAGACACTCTGCACTCTGACACTAAGAGACAAACAAAAGATCTTAACCTTCAACTGAAAGCTTCTTTGGTTAGAAGTAACATTTTTGATGCAAAATTAATTGTTATGTTTAAGAGGGAACTAGACTGATAATTGCAAAGTAAGAGTTTTAAAGGGTATGGAAGACCCAAATGGAATTAAAAGATTGTTCATGGGTAACAAAATAAAAGAACAGGCTCTATGGGCTGAATGGCCTCCTCTTGTTCATACTTGCATTCCTAATCTTAAAAAGCTATATGTATCTAAAAACAACAAATTAAATTTTTATAGTGCCTTTCAAGCCGGGAGGACATCCCAAGCACTGGATAGTCAGGGATTTGGACCTGAGCTGGGGTTTGAGATCAGGAGGGGTGGTGGGCAGGGAGGGTATGGGTAGGAGGGTGACCAAAGACGCGGTCAAAGAGGAGAGTCTTCAAAGGCGAAGGAACTGTGGGATGGAATTCCAGAGGGTGGAGCAGAGAAGCTGAAAGCTGACTGCCCTTGGTGGAGCAGGCCAGAGCCCACTGAATGGAGGGAATGGACAGGTCAATACAGAGATAACAGGTCACAGGGGTTGGGAGGAGCAAGGCTGTGGACTACTTCTAAGACTTTCTGCTATGTTTTGCCACAAGCATCTTATCAAATGTCTTCTAGAAATTTACACTACTAGAGTCTTCCCTTTATCTTTACTTTCTGATATTGCCCCTCCCAAACTTCTATTAAGTTAGTCAAGCATGGACAGCCTTTCACAAATTTGACCTGCCTTTTTTGAGTGTTTACTAATTTGATCATTTGTTATAGACTTGAGCAGTTTGTATGATTAAGGTCTATGGTCTTTAAGATTCTGAAGGGAATAGATGATGTAGACAATGATAAGCTGTTTTATCTTGTACTGAACAGTAGAACCAGAGGATACAGCCTGCGATTGAAGGGGGTTAAATTCAGAAAAAATCTGTGAAACACTATTTCAGTGAGCGAGTAGTAATCCTATGGAACAGACTTCCTAAGCATACAATGGAAGCAGAAAATGTTGTTTGTTTCAAGAACAAATTAGGTAGATTTCTGCTAGAAAATATTATCTCAGGATACAGTATATAATTTGGGGCATGCATGTCAAGCAAACTAGATGGACCTTGGTGTTATTTCGCCTTGCAAATTCTTATGCTCTTATGTACGAATGTGAGATTAACTGGCTAATAATTTCCTGTTTTATCTCTCTCCTCCTTTTTGAATAGAGGTATTATACTAACAACCCTCCAGCTCTTTGGCACAGTATTTATTTTCTTTGGTATTTCCTTGTTCTTCATGGTGCAATAATATTGCTCATAATTGCCCTCCCCTGAGACATCATTATTGGCTACATCACAGATTTCTAGAGCTAATTGCCCTTGTGCTAATACTTAGTGGACAGTTCAAGACTCACATGAGTTGTCTACATTCACCCTATCCGTCTCCCTTTCTACCATGAGTGATAGTCACTTATTTTTCCACTTGTACCTTGCCTTACTCTTCCTCTCTATCTTTGGGAGCATGTTTCAGGAGCCATTCTCCTGCTCATAAATAATGGAGTTGCTCCAACCACTCCTCAAGCTCAGTAACTCTGCGTCTCATACAAACAAGAGTGAGACCTCTCCTGCTAGTGTGGTTGTCCAAAAAACTCAGAGGACTCAGAAACTCCTACAACCCACAAGTACTACAGAATAATGTTGTCAAACATTGTGCGAGGCTCCCTGATATCTTGTCTATGGAAAGAGAAGCATCCAGTTTCTATTATGCTACTTGAAACTTCTATTATACATGATAGACAGGATTCATAAAGATTTATATGATGATCCCAAGGTGAGATAAACACAAGCTCCGAACTGCTGGGATGATATAAGGATGTTCACCCAGTTCAATACCATTTATGCAATTAGCATAATTGATTGTATAATACATGTGAGAAATGGGTAAATGTCATTCAGTCTGGCATTCGTGTAGTATGCTGTTTATCTATTGGGTCTTTGTTTAATTTAAGGAGATATTTTGCTTACTTGTTTTTGTTGGGTATATCGTAAATGGATCATTGAGGCTATATTGTAAAGTAGCTGGAGCATTTAAAGATTAAAATGGGCATTACTGGCTGAGGGGGGAAATAAATGGAGGACAACTGCAGGCAGGTCAGGAGAAAAGGAAGCTGTGGTGAAAGTGTAAGGAAGAGTGTAAGTAGAGCTGAGGAAAGAATGAATTAAATAAATTACAAATGAAAAATTCAGAAAGGGGGAGGTCTATCTTGAGACAGAGAACGTGAGAGCAAATGAACAATTTAATATTATTATTGGTTTCTACTTTTATTTTTGGTCAGTTTGATGGTGTTTACTTTCTAGAGCAGTGTTTAATGTATTTGGTTAATGTTCCTACAGTCTATGGAGCAGTACAGTTTATAGTGGTTTTGTGAAGTATAGTAGTATTCCTGTGAACAGGCTGATACTGAATTGCTCCAGTGAATATAGTAACATTTTGTTGCTGTGGAAGGAGATTGTCCAATTTTATGTATGAAGGATTCAAGGTATTTATTTGTTAAGTCCTGAAATATTACATAGAGATGAAATCCAATGGATGGAATTATTATTTCTGGTTTATAACCCTAGAAGGGCAAAGATCTGCTAACTAATGTTAGGTTTTAATCAACCAGAACAACTTGCATTTGTAAAGCATTTTCACACGGGGTAGTTTATCAGAATGCTCGTAGTAATCTTAATAAAGTTGTGCAGTAAGATCGCTCGTAATATTAAAAATAGTCCATTAAGACTAGGCAAGCATTGCATTAGCCAAATCCATTTGCACCACCTATATTTTGCCCACAACACTGCAATTTAGAAGCATTTCCTTCGACGAGCTTGAGGCATCCTCCCAATGGAAAAACCCTATACCAAATGCAAGGATTATTATTATCATTATTATTCATACAGTTGGTTGGACACCAATGTCAATGTATTTAGGATTGCACAGGTCGCATCAGATCACACCAGGTTTATGCAAGGTATGCTTTGCAGCAATTTGAAAAGTTAAGAGAAGCAATGACTATAGCCTTTTTGATAAAAAACAGAAAGGCTATTACAAAACCAGATTAAATTGTGATATTAACTGTGGTGTTCTGTTTTTCCTGAAGAAGCAATGTCAAGGCTGTTGGTTGTTTCATTGAGAATTCAATATTTCAGGGCCTCCTGGACCAAAAGGTGACAAAGGTGAAGAAGGGGTAGCCGGGATTCCTGGGTTACTTGGCAATCCTGGATTAAGAGGTAAGAGTTACTGAGAGTACTTTACACAAAACAAACATCATTTGTTTTTCATTTAAACTGGCAAAGTCATTTTAAGAACCAACACTTTAAGAACCAATAAGTTCCCAAAGGTAGTTTAGCATGGTTCTGATGCCACTAGGTGTATTGTAAAGAAAGGTGTTTGCTACTCTTTAAAAAGTCTTCCCATGTAATAAATGTTTAACTTAATTTCCAATTAAACGAGAGGACCTGGGTTTGATTCCCAAGCAGGGCGAAACATTTCCTTACTTGACACACCTCTGTTTATCTAGCAGTAAGTAGGAACCAGCTTGGTAGTGAATTGGTGGATCACTTTTCCGGGAGTAATAACCCCTTCAAAAAAAATAAGAAGAATAATTTGGTCATTCAATTCACAACTGTTTGTGGGACACTGCTGTGCGCAATTGGCTGCCACATTTTGCCCACAAAATACACAGTCAATTCACTTTACAGTATATTTCTGTGAAGCGCTTTGAGACATCTCGAAGATGTGATAAGGCACTATATTAAATACAAGGATTATTATTATGGCATTATTTCACATTATTGTTTCTATTCATAATTTTCTCTCTGGACCCTACAAGTCTTTACTAATGGCAATATTAGAATGCAAGACTTGGCTGTGGAATGTGATAATTATAACTGGGATAGTCCACTGCTGGAGATATACCAGTCAATGACTGGTGTGAGCGAACAATTCCCCCCAACCCCCTTACCAGCACTTTGGTCAAATAGTTTCACCCAAAACCAATCGCTGCACCATTGAAGCGGCCTGTGCTGTCATCCAACCTGAGCCTATGCAAACCCCAAGATTGCAGTGTTTGTTAGGGGGGGAACCTGTTTACCTCAACTTTAAAAGTTGTGTAAATGCAATGTGATTGTCTTTAGACACGTCAAAAAATGTACCAACCATCACTCATTGCTTTATTTATTTTTATTAGGGTTAGAAGGTTTGCCTGGCCTTCCTGGACTACCAGGCCTCAAAGGAGATCCGGGGGAGAGAGGAGCACCTGGATACTCTGGACCAAAGGGACAAAAAGGTGGTTGGGGTATGTTATTTGATATCCACACCCAAACCTGTATTAATACTTCAGCACATTATACTACTGCCTGAACTTACCATCTCCAAGCTCTCTCTTGTGGAGTCCTGTAGCTCAGTGGTTAGAGCACTCGCTTTGCAAGCGAGAGACCTGAGTTCAATTCCAGGCAGGGCGAAACCTTGGGCAAGTTTCCTTACTCCACACACCTAATAATAATCCCTCCAAAACCAAAAACAATAATTAAATTGGTCATTTTCAATCTATGACTGTTTGTGGGACATTGCTGTGCGCAATTGGCTGCCGCGTTCGCCCACAAATATACAGTCAACTCACTTTACAGTATATTCTGTGAAGCGCTTTGGGACGTCCTCCCGACGTGAAAAGCGCTATATCAAATGCAAGGATTATTATTTAAGCAGCTTTTATTGTATTTTGATCAAATAACACCTTACACTATCTATACTCAACACCACCTCTTCAACCACATCTATGGGCACCAAGCCCTCCTGCTTCCTGTTTGTTCAGCTTCTCATGTCCAACCCCACCACTGTACAGTTATTTGAGAAACTATCCTACATGCTAGGCGTTATGTAAATGCAAGTTTTGTTATTATTGTTGTAAAGCATCTGTTTTTGATTGTGATTAATACACACTATGAAGTAAAATTTGAGGGAATCTTAAATGCATTCCTACACTTTAGAAATCCTTTTAGAAACACCAGAAGGTGGTGTCCCTATGCAGATAAATTGCTTCCGCCATTATGGATCTGATTGAGGCCATTTTCTTGAACCCTGAGGTAAGAAATCCTACTTTAGGCCCTATGTTGGGCACAATGTTATTTTTGTGTTGCTTAATATTTTCCTAAGGTCTATTTGCCTCGGGAGAACTGAAATTCCAACTGTCCGAGGCCAAAGGTTTACTGAGGGGAACTCCATCCAGTAACTAGAAGTGTGTTACACAAGTCAGGCCAACGCTCAGAAACTCTACTTCAAGAGTAGATCACGTCAGTGAAAGCTTCTGCATGTCAGTATGACACACTCACAGATTTCTTATTAACCCCACTTCAAAGCGTTGTGGCTTAGACCCCAATATTTGTGCTTTAATGTTCTTTTAGCATTAATATTTTATGGAGCAATGATCCGAGATGTTATCCTGGACGCACAGTTCTATATAAATGCAAGTTGTTGTTATTCTTGTTATAGCTGTTTCCTAAAATAAGATAATTCCTAAAATATAGGAAAATCACTATTAAATTCAATTCACATCACCATACTTGTATACACTTATGTTTATGTTCGTTCTTTCTCTTCTTTGTCAAGGTCGCAGAGGTGACAAAGGGAAAAAAGGAGACAAAGGAGACAAAGGCGATATGGGTAAGAATCTCTGAACAAAAGTGAAACTATTTTTATCGATTGACTATTTTACACTGTTCTGTAAGTCTTCCCATAACATGCAGATACAGGAGGATGGGCATATGCTCAGTTCCCAGGTCTCTGTAGCTTAAATGCAACCCTCAGGGCTCCATACACAGCCTAGGGGTACTTACTATCTGATTTTATTACTTCCCTGTGGGGAAGCCCTGAGCCTCTGCTGGCACTTATATCTGGTAACATACATGAGTTACCAGCAACAGAAAAAAGATGACAAGTGGGAACATGCAGTGTTTCACTTTTGGTACAGCACAGTTCTTCCGATGTTAGCAAAATATCAATTCAAAGATTAGTGAAATTATACAGATGACAAAGCAAAATACCTATTAATGATCAATGTTGAGCAGCGACCAGATTTAAACAGCAACGGTTTTCCAGTCTTACCAGATTCTCACCCAAAGAACTAACAAGTACTCCTTTGCACTTGTAAAATGAAAAAACCCAATGAGCTTTCATTGAATGGCTGAACAACATTTGCAAATCTCACATTTTAGAATTCAATGTCTCAACCACTGCTTGTCCTGCAGCACTACAAATAAATTATATGCTATATAGTATACAATAGAGAGCAATAAACTTCAAGAAAATAAAACAGTGCTAAATCTATGGATAACTCACCCCCACAACACAGGGGGAAGAGGGTGAAGTAAGATGTTTAAAAATGAATTCAGAAAGCATTTCTTCACACAAAGAATTGTGATAATGTGGAATGCATTGCCCAGAACATCCCCGGACTGCCATTTACCTGTGATGTTTTGCAGGATCCCAAATCTGAAAGATTCATAAGGATCATAAACCTGAAATAGCCTATCCCCAAAATACAGTAATTTGTGAAAGGTAGGTTAGTAGATTTGAAGGTTAATCTTTAATTTATTCTATTATTCTGTTAATTTGTGGGCATTTTGCATCTAGAAGACATAAAAAGCCTATATCAAATGCAAGAATTATTATTAATCTTGCAATATGGAAGAGATACCCTCTTTATAGATATAACCAAGCCATTAAATTGACTCATGGAAAAAGGACACTGATTCAGCAGACTTCTGGTGATGAAATAGGATCTGATCAATATCAGTATGAGCACTAACTTTCACTTTACCAAGCATTTATTTATTCTGGCCCTGGTTGCTGTTGGTGTAAGTATCAAAGCATTGGTTCTAAGAAACCAGATGCACTGGAGATGGACAGTCAGACAGTCAGTGCTGCAGAAAGGCATTACTGTGGTTGCTAGAAAGAAAAGTAATGATACTTATTTAAAAAAAAGGAACATTTCATTTGAAGAAAGTTTGTTGGTTCATCCAAATGCATCACTCTGCATTGCTTTTTAAAATGCCATATCGAGGAAGAATACAACCAATGTCACCCTATAGATTCTGCATCTACGGCATGAAATTTGTGGGATTTATAATCAATCAATGTGCTAATTATCACCATACAATACAGCCACTCTGTCCCCACCCTCTGGAACGCCATCCCGCTGTCCCTCCGCCTCGCCCCCTCCCTTGCTACCTTCAAGACCCATTTCAAGACCCTCCTCCTCGACCGTGCTTTCGATCTCCCTGCTTCCCCCCCCTGCGCTATATAAATGCAAGTTGTTGTTGTTGGCTATGTGTTTCCACTCAGTCAGGCCACCTTGCTTTTTTTGATGCAACAAAATTTTTAATCTAAATCAAGTTGCTGGAATGTTGGAATGGCTTTTAACGTTTTAGCCTTACTAATTATTTGCCTGGCGGAGAAATGCAGAATCCACATTCTTCTGGCCTAGAAATAAGGTTTGGACTTAGGCCCAAAGTTCAGTACAAAATCATATGGTAACTTGATTAATGAAAGTGGTATGAGTTTATAACAGGAGCATCCACAATAAACTCACACCACCAAGGTCACTAAATTAACTTTCAGGAAGAATAAGACCCTTCAATAAAAATTATCTCATGTCAGTAAATTTAATATCAAGAGACTTGAGCCTTAATTTATGTAGTACTTTTCACGTTAGGAGAGTACCTCAAAGAGTTTTACACAGCAGGCTGTGCACCCAAGCTGGAAGTGGGGAGTTGAAGAAGGTGTGTGGAGGGGAGGGTAGCAATGGGTAGAGATGAGCAAAGCACAGTCAAAATTCAGTAGTTTGTGAAGCACATTGTTACCTAATTGTGTGCACAGGTTGTACTTAGTGGTGAAACATCTCCAACAGCAGCAATATCAGTTTGCACTTATATAGCATCTTTCACATAGGATAATTCTCTTCTCCTTTGGGCTAAGACTAAATGTAGTATCTGTTTCTATCAGTTACTCCTTAGGCTATATGCCTGCCAGAAAGATCTCCTTTTGCCATTCACTTGTATATACAACATCATGACTGAATCTCCCCATTATGCACAAGGGGAGGATTAAGCTCCAGGCAGGAACAATGCCTTCAGATCACTGTTGGTTGGGATCGGTATTGCATTACTTCTGATTTGAGGAGTTTGATCTACCCTCATAAAGAGAAAGTAGAGACACTGGAATACGGAACTAGCTTGAGCACTCGGCTTGCTCGGAGACAACTCTCGTTCCCTTGAGGAACTCATTTTGGTTTAATTTGCTTAACAGGGGTGAATGGGGTCTAACCTCTCTCACCAAAAAATAAAATCTCAAAGCACTTAACAGAGATATTGCGGAAACCTGAGCAAGGTGGTAATTGGAAGATGGTAGGAGGCTATGGAGAGGTTGTGAAGCAATTGACTGAAGACATGATCAAAGAGATTGTCTTTAAAAGGGTTGAAAACAGAAAGCGAGGGTACATGAGTGAGGGATTTATGGAGAGTTGCAATGGGGCCAAAAGCTCGGCAAGATTTAAAACATAAGTTTTTAGAATTCCTTTATCCAAGACATCTAAGAATAGACAGAGCGTTATGATGGAGTATTATAAAGTACATTCTGAGTCTTACCTGGCTCTCTGTCAAAGCTCTTAGTGTAACAATGAAAGGAATGTCAGCCTCAGGTCTCTTGATATTAAATGTATTGATGTGAGCCAAGTGTCTTATTCTTGTTGACCTTGGTAGTGTGATCTTATTGTGGGTTGTTCATGTTATAAGATCATAAAATTACCATCCATCATAATCCATAATACAATTTAGCAAATTATAGTAAGATTAATAGCCAATTCCTCAGCCTTAGAACTGCTGCTTGATTAAACATCTTGTAAATGGTCTAAGTCTTTATAGTGTAGGTCTGTTACCTGCACTCGGGTTGTTTTAGTGCCCACTGGCTGTTTACTAAATCACCAGGAGGGAAAAATATTGCCAATGTTAAAATTAAATAAGATGTTAATGTACATTGAGGTTGTTGTTTGTATATTCTTAACTAGCTGCTATTTAATTATTCTTTTTGGAAATTCTCCTGTAAAGATTACCAAACCACATTTCAACATTTTACTCTTAGGGCAGGTATGCAACACATGCATGTACATTTTTTCCATTGCAATGTTATGCAAAGTCCTGTGGGGCTGCTTTGACTCATAATCATTTGAAAGCATTTCCAGCACCTGCATCTGCTAGCCATAAACCATAAGATTTAAAGCATTTCCAGAACTCTGAAATATTCAGCATAATCCACAGTTATTCTTCAGTTAATCTTCAGTTTTTGAGCATGCTTGCAGTGTGCACTGAAATGGATCAAGCTACCTTCCATGAGGCCTGATAGTAATAGCCCTCAGGTTTGCACAATAAATTGGATTAGAGCGTCTGTTACTTATTCAATTTATGTTCCTTGGATGAACCAGAATTTGGGAACAAAACTCTAAGTTCTTCATGCCCTTTGTTGCAAGTTGGGACATCTGTGCAAGACTTCCTCTCATTCAATCAGAACATTAAAGTCAAAGGCCTGCAATGATTTACTTCTGCAAGAAGAAAGTCACATCAGCCGCTTCAGACATTACCTGTTGTGGAGTGAATGGAGAGACACCTGGGCATTGTTTCAATCTTGCATTTATAAGTTGAAAGAAAACTTTTCTAAAATAATTTATTATGAAAATCTGAACAACAGTAGCTAAATATAACTATTTAGTCAAACTATCTGTGACCAAATCAAATATTAAAGTAAAGAGAGAATAGAAGCTTTTTTTTCACTTACTCCCTTTCCATGAAAATCTGAGCCTACTTCTTTTAGCTCAAGGTGAAAAAAATTAAAACATTGTTTGTGAAGCAATTACACTAAAGCATCAAATAGTTGGAGGGAATATCATCAGTGATAATTATCATATCACTTACACCACATTCCCCCCCACCCCATCCCCCACCACCCCTGTCTTACATTTAAAACCATATAGAAAAATAGTATAACCATTTCAGATATAACAAGAGGGCGTAAACCTCTGTTCAACATATGAAATTATCCAAATTATTACATTTACTTAAAGGTATAACTTATGCTGTAAATTAAATGATATAACAACAATAAATTACATTTGAATGGTGCCTTTCAAATCAGGAGAACATAAATATACAACTACTTACCCAAATGCATATTACGTGAAGTTGAAGTGAACAATAATACTGTGTTACTGTTGAGCTTTCCCAAGCATGTCTCACAGCCATCTTGATGTGATTCTCTTTCTTATTTTTGGCCATGCCTCTTGCTAACATTGTTTTAATGATCAGTAAATATTTGCTCAAAGAGCAGAACAACACAATAACGATTCGAAGTATATAGATTTACAGCAAGGAAACAGACTATTCAACCCAATTAGTCTGTGCCGGTGTTTATAATCAACATGAGTCTCCACCCATTCCTTACTTCCACATCCTTCTGTTCCTTTCTCCCTCATGTGGAGGTCTAACTTCTTCTTAAATACATCAAAACTATCCGATTCAACCACTGCTTCAGGCAGCGAGTTCCAGTATCTCACTGCCCTCTGCATGAAGTAAATTCCCAAGTCACTATCTTATCCACTGAATGCGTCTTTTTTTATACTGGTGAGTGAGGTTAGACCTGCTCTCGCCCCAATAACTAAATAAGATCAAAATGTTCCACTTTGGGAATGAGGGTTGTCCCCAGGGACAAGCCCCAATCCCCCCCAAAGTCTTCCAGGCCCCAAATTGTCAAAGGACAATGCGGACCTGAACCATGTCTTCACCACCACCCGAGCAAGTCAAGTGACCGGATTGCCTCACTGGCAGGACAAGCCCGGCCTGAGCCTAGTGACCAAGTGCTCAAGGTAGCTCCGAGTTATGTGACAAAGTGTATATCTCAGGAGTTGACTAAGGATTCACTCATTTCTGAGATTAACGTTGCTCACAGTTTATTGCAGATGCTTTTTAAGGTTACAAACAGGGCAATTTAAACTCCTGGGAATAAGGTTGTTGTAATTTTCACTGGGAAAGAATGGAGTTTCAGAAGGCCGTGACCTTATCCTTCAATAACAACTCCCTGCTTAAGTTTGTTTTGAGGATTTAAATGTGTTTCGAAATAACTTTATTTGCACATGCTCCCACCCACAGTTCAGATGCCTTGCCAGCAGTGTCAAGAGCATTGAGATGTCCTCGTGATGTGAAAGGCACTCCATAAATATAAATTTTATTGTACATATAATCATGTTCAGTGGCTTACCCTATGGGGAAATTATCAATGCAAACACACATACAGCAGTCAACTCAGTGCAATGCTCGACTGCAATCAAAATTGCTGGACATATGCTTTCCCACAAATGGAAATTCAAACAATGCCAGGTGTCGCTCCATTCACTTCCGGAGTTAACACAGGCTGGATTGTGTCTGCCAATGTCAGAATGCACTTCTTATGATTAGCATTCTATATATTGGCTATTTTAGAGACATAACATGATTTTAACCCTAGAGATCCTATCAAATATTAGTGAAATCACTAATGACATTTTGAACATCTGTGATCAGGGCTCCCTCTGCCTCCTTGTCCTCCTCGATCTCTCTGCCGCCTTTGACACTGTCGACCACTCCATCCTCATACACACCTCTCCTCTTTACTTAATCTTCGCGGACCTGCCCTTGCCTGGTTCGATTCCTATCTCTCTCACTGTCTCCACTTTGTTGCTTCTAACGGTTTCTCCTCCATCCCCCGCATTGTCACATATGGCGTCCCCCAGGGCTCTGCCCTCTCCTCTTTAATATCTACATGCTCCCCTTGGTGACATCATCTGCAGACATGGGGTCAACTGCCATATGTATGCGGATGACACCAACTCTATCTTTCTGCCTCCACCCTCAACTCCAGGACCACTGCTGTCCTGACGGACATCAAGTCCTGGATGAGGGCAAACTTCCTACAGTTGAATGTGAACAAGACTGAGGCTCTCCTGATTGGCTCGCGCCAGTGCCTCAGCACCTCAGGCTCTGGCAACATCGACCTTCATGGTTGCACACTTTAACTCACCAAGCCAGTCAGGAACCTAGATGTCTTGTTCAACCCTCAACTGTCTTTTCTCCCCCACATCCAAGCCATGACCCGCTCTGCCTTCCCTCACCTCCGTAACATCGCCCGACTCCGCCACTACCTCACCCCTCAGGCCGCTGAAACTTTTGTTCATGCCTTCATCACCTCCAGGCTCGAGTATACAAATGCCCTGCTTGTCGGCCTTCCCAACTCTTCCCTCCACAGGCTGCAGATAATCCAGAACTCTGCAGCCCGTGACCTCATCTCCCCCCTTCTTGCCCGACTCCATTGGCTCCCTATCCTTCAGAGGATCCCAGTTCAAGATCCTGGTCCTCACCTACAAAGCCCTCCATGGCCTTGCCCCACCCTAACTCTGTGACCTCCTAACCCCCTACCAACCTGCCCGCTCCCTCCGCTCAGACGGCTCTGGCCTGCTCCACGTCCCCGACCCACCCACCCCACCATTGGTGGGAGAGCCTTCAGCCACTCTGCCCCCAACCTCTGGAATTCCATCCCTCAATCATTCCGCCTCACCCCCTCCTTAACCTCCTTCAAGTCCAGCCTCAAAACCCTCCTCTTCGACCATGCCATTGGTCACCTCCTTCTCCTCTCTCTTCTCCCGCTTGATACCAGCTCGGGTCTGCAATGCTGTACACATCATATTCTTCTCGTTTTAGTTAATTTAGAAGTCTGGCCATGTGAACTTTGACTAAAGAAATCCCATTGTACAAACACATTAATGGGGATATCAGATTTACCAAACAGCATAGAATAAAATAAGCTCATCTTTCAAAGTCAGTACTGACATTCTAAGAGTCATTCCTTACCTACTCACAACAAACCAGATGTCAAGTAGCTCAAAAGCTGATCAATTTCTTCTTGCTGTTTTGCTTATCAGGAGAAATGGAACCAGTCCTAAGGCTAGTGAATGGCTCAGGACCTCACGAGGGCAGAGTGGAGATTTTCTACGACAAGCTGTGGGGAACAGTCTGTGATGATAAATGGGACAAAATTGATGGAGATGTGATCTGCAAGATGTTTGGTTATCAAGAGGCTACCGAAGTTCATTCGGCAGACAAATTTGGACAAGGTAAAGAGCTTTCTGATTATGGTTATTTTTGTCAAAAAATATAAATGTGTATCAATTGACAGGATAGCATTTAATCGAAAATGCCTCATTCAGTCCGAATACATATTGTAGTGGACACGGGGTGTCAAGGAAGTACAAGTTCACAGCAGTCATAGTTGTGGACCAAGCAATTAACTTTAATCAAACAATCATACATAACTCCTCCCTCCATAGACTGCAAATTATCCAGAACTCTGCAGCCTGTGTCCTCTCTCACGCCAGGCTCTGTGACCCTACCACCCCCATCCTCGCCTGACTCCACTGGCTTCCCATCACAATATTTCACTAGTGAACAAGTAAATAGCTTTCTCATATGGCTTTAGCAACAACATTAAAATTGGATGCTTATAAAACAATAATTATGTTTTTTTTCAGTTCCTGGTAGTCTCATTGGGAGGGGAGACAAGGAGGTTCACACCATTGCTGGTCTAACAATAGGAAAAGTGCAATTGCCCAGGCAATCCAGTGTGTATATGGGGAGAATATATCTGCATTAATTAAATGTTCAAAGATTCATCAGAAGCAAGGGGGAGGGGGTAATGGAGCTGCATTCGATCTTGGTGCTAGAGTCAAGTCTGGATGTGATCCTACCAGTGTGTCTGAGTCTGTTGGCACCTCCTAATGGTGCATTGAAGACATCTTTTTGGAGGCTGACATTCCAGTATAAAGAATGTTTCTTTAAGAAAGCTGAAGCTCACATGTAAGAACCATTAAATGACTATACTGTCAATGATACGCCTCCACAAGACTGGACCTCCAATCCTGGCATAGTCAACGAGAGGGAGTCATTTAGGATTTCTTTGTCTAGAAACTTGAAACAGCTGCAATCCCCAAAACATGTTAATTTATCCACAATTGTTAATATGCCAAGGACTATCTGTTTAGTCTTAGATAGGACCATGATTTCTGCATTCTTTGTGAATTGCTAAATTATGACTGATGAAGCCACAATGGGGTCTGCCATGCACCAACATAAACAACAAGCAAAACAGTTGCTGCTGTTAGCGAATGTATAACAAAATAAGATTGCATTTGTATAGTGCCTTTCATGTCGAGAGGATGTCCCAAGACGCTGGACAGACAGTGTTTTGGACCTGGTATTCCTTAATATCTTACTTATGTTATGACTATTGATCTCCTCCCTTCCGCCCCCCCAAAAACCCACACACAGTAACTCTTAAGATAGCTAGATTCACAAAAGCCATTAACATTTAACAGTTTTATTTACCTAAAATCCTCGCCCAATTCCACTGGCTTCCCGTCACACAGAGAGTACAGTTCAAGATCCTGGTCCTCACTTTCAAAGCCCTCCATGGCCTTGCTCCCACCTAACTCTGCGACCTCCTGACCCCCAACCATCCGCTCAGCGTGCTCTAGCCTGCTTCACGTCGCCCACCTCACCCGCCCCATCATTAGCAGGCAGGCCTTCCACCAATGTGCTCCCACCCTCTGGACCTCCATCCCACAGGCCTTTTGCCTCGCCCCCTCCCTTGCCTTCTTCAATACCTGTCTCAAGATCCTCTTCTTCGCCTGTGCCTTCAATCACCCTCCTTTTCCCCTGCCCTCCACCCTCCCCAATCCCGACCTCCAGCTTGAGTCCAAAACACTGATTGTCCAACACCTTGGGACGTCTTCCCGACATGAAAGGCGCTATACAAATGTAATTTTGTTATTGTTATTGTTGTGAAAATTGAGAGATATACATAAACAGCAGGTTGACTTTGCTTCCTGGTAAAAAAAATCTGGCTCCACTGCAATTACTTGGAACTACATCAGAAAAAAGAATCAATATTAAAGATTCTACAAATGTACGGAACAAAAAACGGCTGCCACTGAGTAACTGAGAGCAGTGAGAGTGGTGGCTATGGTGGTCGAGATATATAACAGCTGAAAGGGTTCTCTATCCTGGGCACCACAAAGTAATCACCAATTTTTCATTATGTGGTTTATATTATAAGCATGCAGGACTCATGCAGCATGCTTACAATATAGGAACTAGATTAGTATAGCACTCTCGTAATATAAATCCAGCTGTAAACTACAGACAGTGCAGAGGTGAGAGTGATTAATTTATACAAGCATTTTGGCTGCAAACATGGAAACAAGTCAGCATTTGTTAACATAAGCGGTTGAAGAAAGAATGAAACAAAGAAAACTTCCATGTGGTTTATCATGTCAAAACATCTCAACACCTCACTTTACTTTGAAGTTACTTTTAAGTCCATTTGGCGTTTTTATGGAAGCAAATGTGTAGCTAATCTGTGCCACAAATGTCCCATAGTTGGCAATTAGATGGATGACCGATTATTTTTTATTTGTGGGAATTAGGATGAAGAAAAGACTTGAACCACTGCAACTGACAAATGAGCTTTGGTTTACCAACTCTGTCCAAGCGTCCAACTTTAATCTGCCCAGTCAGAGATCTGTATATATATAAAAAAAGTTAAAGCTTTGCAAAGAACATCTGCAACAAATTTGAGTTATGTTAGCTTTTGTATAAAAATGGTTCCAGACCTATAGCTTCAGAAACTAAGAAAATGTCCTGCTTTGAGTCATACAGACACATGAATGCAAAGTCCAATTTATGTGGGTATAAGGATGTGGAGTCCTGTAGCTCAGTGGTTAGAGCAGTCGCCTTGCAAGTGAGAGACCTGGGGTCAATTCCAGGCAGGGCGAAAACAGGGCAAGTGTCCTTACTCCACACACCTAATAATAATCCCTCCAAAACAAAACAGTAATAAATTGGTTATTTTCAATCCACGACTGTTTGTGACACTGCTGTGCGCAATTGGCTGCCGCGTTTCAAATGCAAGGATTATTATTTTATATTATTATAGAACTCAGTTTCAAAGACAACCCGCACGTAGACTTGATGGAACACATTTTGAACATTGTCCAAACTAATGATGCAGTTCATAAACAGGGAAACAAAGAGTTGAAAATGTTATTATTGTAAACATGCCACACTCTCTTCACAATTAAAGCACAAGTCAGCTGGAAAGATTGATTTGAATGCATAGGAGAACAGGAAGCTGAATAGCCTACTTTGAGCCTCCTCTGCCAGTTTACCACAACATGGCCAATTTATCAATAATCCTTGCATTTGATATAGCGACTTATCATGTCTTTCGAGATGTCTCAAAGCACTTCACAGAATATACTGTAAAGTGAATTGTCTGTATATTTTGTGAGCGAAATGCAGCAGCTAATTGTCAGCAGTATCCCACAAACAGTCGTGGATTGAGTGACCAATTTATTATTTTTTTAAGGGATTATTACCCCAGGAAAAGCGATCCACCAATCGACTAACAACCAGGTTCCTTTATACTGATAGGTAAATAATGGGTGTGGAGTAAGGAAACGTGCCGAACGTTTCGCTCTGCCCGAGACCCAAACCCAGGTCCTCTTGCTTGCGAGGCGAGTACTCTTAATCCCATTCCCCTTCCTTTTCTCCATATCCCCTAATACCAAACTTTTTTTTAAACATCCCAACTGATTCTGCTTCTTTGCTTTCAGGGGCAGTGCATTCCACATTCTCACAACCATCTGTGTGAATAAATGGTTTCTGATCTCACTTCTAACCACCTTAGCTCTAATTTAAAAATTATGACTTTCCAGATGTGACAAGATCAGTTTTGAGTTGCTCTCTAAAGCACCAGGGAGAACATTATACTCAGACAAAAGGGTATTGGTGTAGATTCTTCCCAGATGGTATTTCAACACTTCATATACATCTAAGTGACAAGCAGAACAAACACATTTGTCACCACACTGTCAGTGAACAAATAATTTCCATTCTCCATCCCTTGATCACAGTCAGCAACCACAAACAAGTTTGATAACTGGCATACGGTGTTATGGTTTTAGCCAAAGAACACAACTCTTCATCCACTATGTGCAATGATAGCAGGAAAAAACATGGGTTACTCATAAAGAATATTGTTTATGAATTCTCAATTTGGATACTGACTGTCCCATGTGGTACTGAGTCATATAATCAGGATGGTCCCATATTTGATTCCCAATCTGTGTTCAGTTAGGGGTATAAATTCTGTTTATCATTATGTGTACACTTTTAGCAATAACTATTTGATAGGAAATCCCATTTGTGGTCATATCACCAAAAGCAATAATTGGAACACTGAACAAAATGTTTAACCATTAGTTGATTTCAACTGAAGTGTATTTTTTGGGGGGTCAGCTAGGTGACTGATATATGCAGAAACCTATTACTATGCTTAAGAGTATTGAAATCAGTCTGAGAGTTCCACATATGCAAACCACCTACTTATGGAACTTTTCCTGTGTCTTGAATGTAATGTGCATTCTCTTCCTACTTACCTAATTCTGGAAAGAATTAGCTGCAGATTTGCCAGAGCTAAGGCTTGGGGTCCCTAGAATCTGTGTTGGGGTACTGTTTAGCCTATTTCACCAACTAAAACTGAATAGCTTTTCAATGAGATGTCTGGCAAACTTCCTGTTGCTTCACCAGCTAGGATCGCTCTACTAGTTAGGGCTTTAGCTTGCAGGGTTAACGGAAGCCAAGTGGAAATAGTCCTTGTGCACAGTCTGACCCTCTAAGTTCTGCAAATGGTGTCAAATTGGCTGGTCTGTAAGGTCTTGCAGTACTGCAGATCTACCTCCCTCAGAAAGTGGGCTCCTGAAGGCAACTCAATTCAGACAATCCATTGCAAAGCATGTAATCCGATAACCAATTCAGCTGCAATGAGACCCACTCACCTCCTACCTCACCAACAGCACACACCACTTACATACACACAATGAGGATAGTTACTAGTTGATCATTGGACATCTGACAAGTGCAGGATATCCATGATCATAAAGACAAGGGAGATCCAAAATTCCAATTAGTCTTAGGCTATAAATATTCTGTTGTAAAATTTAAATATAGTTTAATTTAGAAGCTGAATTTCAAAAATTCAGAAAAGAATAGGATTCAT